CAKACCTGGTTTGAATCCCATTTGATATAATTAATTTTTTTGCATGGTGATTTTGCATTTGATTCTTGTAGTGCTGTATAAACAACATAATGGTAAAAGTACATTATTACATTATGAGATAGTGCTGAGCAAGTCTTTGTAAGAATAAAAATAATCAATTTACCGTTTCATTTTCATTATTTCATCATTTAGTTGTAGCTTGTGTTTATACGAGAAGGGAAATAAGCCTCGGTGATGAATATTAATAAACATTTATTAACAAAGAAAAGATTCACACATTACACAAACTGTTGTAACAATGCTTCTTGGCAATAAATCTTATACTATTGGAAAGCCTGTTGATTTCCTTTTTAAATGGTGCCAAATAAGGAACATACATTTGCAGGATGAGCAGTAGAGCTGAATATGTGGGTTGCACACATGAAGAATTTGCTAAAGCTTCTCTGCCAAACAGCTTATTCTGCTATTGGTGGACTGGATAATTGAAGTTCGAAGAAACAAGACTTATTGGCCTTACAATAAAAGAACGCCTATTCTCAGCTCTACTGCTCATCCCACAAATGTATGTTCCTTACAACTGTGTCACCTTTTAAAAGAGAAACGAACAGGCTTTCCAACTGTATAAAATTGATTGGCAAGAAGCAATGTTACAGCAAAGAAATAAACCACCAAACACAATTTTCCTTACATTTTGTACTAAGTATATATGAAGCGTTTAGTGTAAACATTAACCTATTACCAAGTTAAGTGCTTTTTAAAATAATAATTCAAGAACTGGTGCTTGACTGAATTGCCGCTGTAAAAATGCCACTTCAAAGTTGTGTAAATGTGAAAAATACAAATTAAACTTTACTGAAGAGCTGTGTTATGGCCTTGAAACCCTGCTGAGCTGACCTCAGTTGTTCCAATGTGTCATGCTGCTGCTGGCTCATTTCCTCAGACTATCTCCTCGTCATCCATCCGCATGTGTTTACAGTGTGGATGCAGATGGCATCAGTCCTCCTTTCTGGGTCTGTTGGGTCACTGGCATCCAGCCCAACAATCATTGGACTGAACATGAATTGTTACATTCCTTGCATCATCGCTACAGCTGAACACTGTCATAATACAACAGCACATTTTGTGCATTCAATAAATTGTAACATCTATCCAGTATCTTTTATCTGGCTTTCTTTTCCAGGTTGCAGGGGTTTATGGTGCCCAGGTCCGGCAGTCAGCGTGAGAGATGAGGTACACCTTGGACTATCCACAAGTCAAGTACATCGCAGCACACATGACCACATAGACAGGTGTCCATGGAATGCCACAAKTCACCTGACRGTGGTTTGATTTATGTGGCCCGAATCTGTAAATGCCATGACTGGCCTGGTCTGGTCGTGGTTTGGTTTTTGTGGTGCTGGCTCATGCATGGACCACCTCTGGCAAACTACATCTGGGCAACCAAAGGGTCATCATTCTTTGCAGTATCTGGGCCAAGCGTTAAGTGTTAGTGCATTGTGTGGGCCATACCAATTTTGCTATGTGATAAGGACCYGCAAGACGTGCTCTTATAAAGACTGAAAAGTTCTGTGTGTACAACTGCCTTAATATGAAATAAATATTACAAAACTGGAATTAAATGTAACAGTAAAACAGTAAAAGTGAGTTTTACTTACGGWTATAGCAGCCATCATGATTCCAGTAGACATTTCTGGTTCGAAAGTTGGAAAACCCGACCTCTGAGTATAACAGGAACACACCGTGGACTGGGTCAGAGGAGCAACTTCTGCAGTTGTACTGTTAGTACCTAGGCCAACATTCAGCGCAGTGGTTGAATGAATTAAAACTGAAATTATATACCGGTACTCATGTACAAGTAAAAATATTTGTGTAAAAATCTAAACTTTAAAACTCTGTCATAAAAAATGTACTTTGAGTAAAAGTTAGTTACTTTTCTATTTAAAAGGAGGGGGTTTTAAAAATATTTAACTGGCTTTTTTTAAAGGACACTTTTAGATTAAATAAAAACTCTCACATTTGAATATTTATTCATCCTTCAGTTTTCCTAATTTTCTTGATAGTGATTTGAAAATTTGGTCTGAACAATGGCCACTTGGTTTGAACTGAAGAAAATGTGTTAACTTGTGCGATGGTTTTCAACATTACATCGTTAGTGTTGACACTTCGTCAGCAGCTACTGACATTTTCTTCTTAATTTGTTAGAATTGCATTGTGTACATGCTGAAAAGAAGCTTCCTGTTGATTTTTTCAATTCCATCTTCAACTTAGACGTCTTTAAAATGTTCATAAGTTGGCGTAAGTTGTCTAGTGTGACAGGGCCTTAACCTTAACTGGTCACGCTATCCAGCTCTAAGCSTTCACTTGTCTACTTCGTTAGCTACTTCTACGAATTCTAACAAATCGTGCTGACGTCAGGTAGTTAGCTACAGACTCGTTTAAGTTTTTCCAGTTCTGTTGATGCATTTTGAAGCGCCACTTAATTATAAAAATAGGATCAAATTCAGAGATTTTAGTGACCCCTTAAATAAGTAAGCTGACATGTCCTGATGCATCTCAGTAATCCAGGTAAAAAATCAAAAAGAAATAAATTGTATAGGTCTTCTGGAC